TCAACCCCTTTCCCGAGAAGCAAAGACAAGATTAGTTGACCTGACAGAGGACTAGAAGGTTAAAAATCAGAGAGCGACAATAATATGAGGAAGTCAAGCAGCTCTTCCCTCTCGGTTCTTAATCGATGCTAAAACAGGGGAGCCAATTTGCGAGATCCTCGCATGCAGGTACATTAGACCAATCGAAGTGAGGGCTGGGCCTTTCCCTTGCCTTCCATCTGTATACGAATCTGCAGGGCTTCCGAACGCTTGCTCGCTCTTCTCGCCTACAGAGGCCGATTCCTCGCTTTGACCTAGCTTGCCCCCTTTTTTTGCTCTCTTTTTCCTCTCACCGAGGATGTTCCTCTTGCATGCAGGAATATGCATGTGTACCAACAGCTAGCAGAAAGTAATGCCAGACGGGCCATGAGATGTGAAATGCTACGTCGACATGTCTCGTTGCCAGGGAACTTGCATCAGCGCACGGGAGCTGACTCCTTCGCCTTCGCCATCGGGCTGAATGGAGGCTGTGAAATGCTACATCCGTCATCGAGTGACACCCGCATCATCATCATCCCCATCATCAGCTGTATCCAGCGGATGCATGTCATCAGAAACAAGAAACAACAAGCGGCTACTTGCCACGAACTCTTGACTTCGAGCAACAGCTAAAAAATAGGATCGAAATCAGTAAAATTCGACGATGTGACGTTATGCAGGCGGAGAGCATCGCCTCTTTGGGGATCTCCGGCCCCTAACCTCAAGCTAGGATCGGATATGGCACGACAAGATTTGGCTATTCACACGCACACGGCACACGGAAAACAGAGACATGCAGAGAGAGACACGCAGAGACGACTGGAAAACGAAGTAAATAATAATTGTGCTTGCTATCGGGACATGGCTGGCATGGATCAGTGCTGAGATAATACTCCGTCGATGGAGACACCGATCAAGTCTGCAAAAAGAAAGCAAGCCACGAAATAAAACAGAATTGGAGCACAAGATCAGAAAACCAAAAATACACAGATTTACCCCAGATCGGGCCATTTATTCCCACTCTCGATGGAGCACCGCACCGCTGACATGGAGGACTTTCTATAGTTAATTAGGCATGACAATAGTTACTTAAGGGGGAGGAGACATCGAGGGTGATAGTCAACGCTGCGGGAGTTGATATCTGAGAGCCCGCTTGAGACGCCCGGGTGATACGACGGTGGCACAGCTAGCCATGGGGATTTTCCAATGTGGCATTCGGCCCAGTGGGCATTGTCCGTTACTATCATTGTATAGTATAACTCATCGATCTAGAGCGGTGGTTGGTGGTGGTGGTTGGATCGATCGTCATCATCATCGTTGGCGAGGAGGACTGACGACGACAGTAGCAACCAAGCTGGATATCTCCAGGGCAACAGATATGCGCAGTGCAGTCACCAGGACAGAGCTCAGAGCTTGAGAAGAACGAGTCAGAGTAAGCCGACTCGTCCAACCACCCGCTGACGGATTTTCGAGATGGCAAGGAGAGAAGAAGCAAAGAGAGGAAGCGGGTGACAGTACGATACAGCATAGCACGGAGGACGAGCTGCGATCCCCTTGCCGCCTCCTGCCGGGATCTCCATATAGCCTCCTCTTGCTTCTCTTTCGACCAGGCAAGCAACGATGAATCTGTCCATGGCCAGTAGAGATGCTCCATGTGGAGACTTGACGTGAGACATCGATCCCAGCCCTCTGTCTGTTGCTTTTTCCCCTTCCCACCTGCATTGCAGACACTAACTGGACAATGGCCATTCAGAGTGCTGGGAGCTGCTGGGCCAAGCGGGCTTCCCCGTTCCAACTGTGTGAAGGGGAGTCATGGAGAAGCAGATCGGCCACGGAGATTGGCGACAAGGCCCTTTTTAACAGCAAATGGGCTTCTGGCCAAGCGGGCCTACCGGCTTGAGATTTTCTTTCGAGAAGCCTGGAGGCGCAAGGGGGGTGGGAATGGCGAGGAACAGAACGAGATGCAGCGGTGCATCCGTAACCTGAGAAGAGCTAACTAACATCTGTTAGCTCCTGGCTCGTTGATGTTCGAGCTATGGCTCACTCCGCATTATATTATATTGTACGGAGTAAAGCAGAAGGTAACCACACCAGGGGCCCTTGGCTATCCGCACGAAAGGATACAGAGTGTAAGGCTCTTTCGTACAGCCGCTTCCTTCCACCCTAAACACTGTCTTACAGCGACAGAGCCCTTGAGGAAGAGTCCCCTCTTCAGTTAAAGGGGGTAGAAAAGCTTGACCATCGTCAACTTGCCCATTATCGAGGTGGTTGGATGTTTGTTTGCCACCTTCAGCCGCCGGGCGATGAGAAGTCCACCAATGGTCCCTCCATGCGCCTGTTCCGATACACAGAGTACAGAGGATGGACTTCCAGACCTTCGGGCGAAGCAGAGGAAGACACAAGAATAATGTGGCAGGGGTCCTCTCAACCAAAAGCAACCAAAGCAAGCATGAAAAAATAGCATCTCGCTCGTTCCCCAGGGCTACGACGACGACCCACCCTCTGGGGGAGCAACAAGGCCAAAAGTCCACACCACCCCATACCCCGTATCCACGCTTGGGAGTACATCCACGATGTACCGAGCAACCGACCTCGCTCTGAGTGGACAACAATTAATTGTACTCTGGAACCGCGGTACAATGCACGAACATCCTCCGGCTTGCAGGACGGCATCTCCATTGTCTACAGGAACCAGCCATTCAGTCAAATGTTGCCGTCACCATCACAACCACGCAAGATCAACCGTGAGTTACAAAGGATGTATACGCACACGAATGTACATGTTCCTGGTACTGATCCAAGTATAACTGCTCTGACCTTGCTGAGCGAGGGATAAGGGCTGCATGTGAAATTTTCAAACCTCGTCCTTCCCTCCCCTCCCCATCTGGCCAAATTGAGAGATCCCATGTCTTCCACTAACTTATACCCCGGCCCCGAGCCGACGTCTACTGTCCACAGACTACTCTCCATACCCATGAGCTTCACCCTTGGCCGATGAACTTGAGGGCGTGGGGTGTGGGTCCAGCTCCTTTGCTTCTTCCTCCTCTTCCTCCACCTCTTCTTCAAGTGGCTTGGATGTGGTGCTGTTATTTTGTAAACCCGGCCGCTTGTTGCTTTTTCCGTTACACTGAATTATTGCCTCTCTGATATTCCTTTTTCCTTCTTTTTTGCAAAAGTTGGATCCTCTGCTCTTGTTTCTCATCTGAAGATATAAAGCTCTTCCCATCCTACCTGCTGCGTTCTGGCTTTTCTCTTCCTCCTTTTCCTTTTCTCTCCTCCATCCTCACAGCAGTTCTTAACATTGACACTCGTTTCGTCGTTCAACTGTCGTTTACTCTAGAATTAATACAAGTCTTTCTTGTTACCAAATACCGACAAAATGAAGTTCTCTCAGGCCGTCATTGCCCTGGCTGCTGCCACCGTCGTCTCTGCTCAGCTCCCAGACGTTCCTCAGTGCTCTGCATGTGCTTACTCTCCATAAAAGTGACGGTGATGAAAGAGGACCTATTTTGCTAACATACCTTCTAGCTCCCATGCTTCCTCGATGCTCTCACCACTGATGGATGCTCCGAGTTGACCGACTTCAAGTGCCACTGCTCCAAGCCAGAGCTCCCAGCCAAGATCACTCCTTGCGTCAAGTCCAAGTGCCCTGTTGCCGAGCAAGTCTGTAAGTTTGGGCCTGACTATATCATCCTATTAATCCCCTGCATACGCATACTAACCTATGCTTATAGCCGTCTCCAACGCCGTCGTCAAGCAGTGCTCTCAGGCCGGAGCCCCCGTCTCCATTCCTCCAGTTGAGGAGTCCTCCTCCAAGCCATCCGAGCCCTCCACCAGCGAGGCTCCAACTGCCTCTCCCACCGAGAGCACCCCAGCTCCCACCACTCCTGCCCCAACTGGCACTGGCTCTCCATCCGGCACCGGTGCTCCAGGTGGCCCATCTGGCACCGGCACCTTCACCAACACTGGTGTCCCAACCCAGTCCACCCCCATCTACACCGGTGCTGCTTCCGGTCTCTCTGCCAACATTGGCGGCATGGGCGCTGCCATCCTCGCCATCGCTGCCTACTTGTAAACAATGTCTCCATCAAGACCTATGCAAATTAATAATTAATTTTTTTTTTTGAACACTTCATGTCTCTTAGTTGATAAATTTACCCCTTTTGATGACCTAATATATATACAATCTACTTCTTGGAAGAGAGAAGACAGACAAACGTGTTATCCTGATGTGATTTTTGATTTTGTTTCGAGGAAAAAGCAAGAAACTTTCGTCTACATGTCCGTTGCATTGGAGATATTTCTCAACTGCGGTCTGACTACGGACTACTCCATACGTATCTGGAGAAAAGGAAAACGGCCAATATCTCATCCTTTGGTTCATGCAGAAAATACAAGATAATATATTACACCGCTTGATAATCTCAACTCTTGGTCTGCGGGACAAGAAGACTTACGTATGCCTGTCTGCTTGGCTAGTTATTTGTTTATTTTATCTGTCACCTGCAGCCCGGTCGTGGCGCGCCTAGACAACCGAGTTTTTTCAAGCAAAAGTAACCAGTAGTTATCATAACCCAAAGAAAGCCACTTGGGCAGTCAGTTTAGTGAAACGAATCAGCAGAAACAGCTAACTAACAGGATCTTGATCCGCCGCTATTGAAATATCTCGTAATCCAATATCGCTATAAACTATTACGTACGGAGTACGGAGTACCAGCAGTTAATATTTACGGTGTCAGCATCGTACAGCATTTTGCATAGCTATCAAGTTTGCAGGCAGGAACTTGGCACCTCCAATCTCTCGGTATATTTAGACACACACGGAGAGTGTGGGAGAGTGTGTGTGCGAGAGAGGAAATAATATGAGTAGTAAAGAGGAGAGAGTGTGTGTAGTACGACTTATTTTTTGGCTAGTTAAGGAGTTTTAACTAGTGTATGTCGATGTCTGCAGCAGTCCCCCTGCATCCCCGTCCAGACCACCGTTCGTGTCGCACCAGCAGAGTCAGGTCTGCAGTGGTCATACAAGCAGCCACTCGATGGATAGCTAGGCGGGCTACGTATCGTGTCTTGACGCAGGCTTCCTTTGCTGCCACGCACCAGCATCGCCCATCTCGGTTTTAACTAACTAGTCCCGCCAGTCAACTAAATGGGCCTCACTCCCACCCCCGCTTTGAATATTATGTGGAATGATCGTGATGGGGACAATGGTGCATGGCTCGAGATATACTCTATTTCTGTTATATGGTCCCAAATTGTACTGATACGGAGTACTTAGCAATGATCGGGCATCGACTGGGTCGCCTATCTGGCATCTCTGAAGTGCTTGATTCTTGATTGATAAAGGCGTGAGGAACTCATCAAGTGGTCGGTAATCTGATATGGTACTGTATACCCCTTGCTGGTGGCCTCCATCTAGGTACAACCAATGACATCTGTTCAATTAGAGTTTATATTAGTTACCATAATTAGTAACATCTTAAGCGCCTGCCGCGAATCATTTTACTTCGCGGCGGCAAAACGAACAGTTAACCGCCAGAATGAAGTAATCTTCTCTTCACCTGTTTATTTATTACACTGTAACAGCCTGTGGATCTCAACTTGACTGACAGTCCTATAGCTGTTCTCGTCAGATTTACGGGCATGGAAGAGGAAGAAGAGGAAAAGGAATTATGTCTAGTATTATGCATCATTTTGATCATGGAGAAGGTTTTAAGTAACAGGAAGTGGAAAATTGACAAAAAGGGGCATTTAAGGCATTAAGAGCCAAACTCCTTGATGTCGGTGGTCTTGCCGCTGAGAGCGAGGGGAACGATGCCGGAGACGTGCATCTCGGGCCCGAAGACGTGCATGTCGAGATGCAGTTCCTCGCCGACGGCCTTGATGTTCTTGAGACCTTCCTGGTAGTTGGGGCCAGCTCGTCGGACCCAAATCTGGGTCTTGTGCTCGACGAGGACCGGGGCGACTTCTCTGAGGGCGCGGATGACGCCCTTGAAGGTGGTGGCTACGTTGGTGAAGTTGGCAATGCCGCCGCCGATGAAGAGGACCTTACCCTCGGGCCGCAGCGGGGCACGGAGCATGAGGTCGAGGACGGTGCGGGCGTAGTTGTAGGTCTGGGTCTCGGTGGGAGCACCCGAGTACTCTCCGTAGTTTGCGAGCTCGGAGACGTGTCCGGCCGAAGCGATGGCGTCTGCGTAGACGACGGAGGCACCACCACCGGCGACGAGGGTCCAGATGCGGCCGTTGGCGTTGAGGACGGTGAGCTTGAGCGAGGCACCGGTCTTGGCGTCCATGTCAGAGATGTATTTCTCCTCTTTACTCATCTCGCGGCCAAAGGGAGCCGGGAAGTCCATGGGTGGGCCGGCGTCGATGGTGACCTTTGACGAGGTCGAGGCGGTTGTTGCAGCGAGGCCGAGGGCAGCAGGGGAGCGAGCAATGGCCCACTTGGTGCCGCACTCGAACTCGGCGGTCTGGTCGAGCTTTGCGGCGAGGTCGAGGAAGTGGACGGAGGCGGAGGTCTTGTCCTCGTTGGGGATGACGACCAAGGGGTTGATCTCGAGGTAGGTGAACTGGCAGTCGACGTAGACGGCGTAGAGGCGGGTGATGAAGTCGACGAGGACGTTGTGCAGGCCCTTGGGTATCTTGCTGAGCAGGCCGGCCGCGATCTCCTCGTTGCTGGGGTACTGCTTGAGGTTGACGGGGACGAGCAGCTTCTCAGCTTTGGCGTCGACGTCGCCCACGTCCACGCCTCCTTCATGCGTAAACAGTATCCAGTCGCCCTACTCAATTAGTATTCTCTATATATATATAATAGTGTAGAAGGGTAAGTGTACCTCTCTGACGGAGTTGATGTTGATGTAGTACTCGGTGTCCTGCGGGTGCGGCACAAAGGGCTCGACGAGGAAGTGCCTGAGGACGCCGACGACGGTCTCTACCTGCTGCTCCTTACCAGCCCGCTCGGCTATCCATGCTCTGGCTTCGGCCCAGGTCTTGTTGAGGGCGAGCAGGCCACTCTTGCCGCGGCGCTTGATGAGCTGGTCGGGCTTTGCGACGAAGCGGGCTCCGGGAGCGAGCAGCCAAGGGTAGGTGGCCTCTGCCTGGTCGAGGACGGCCTCGACGGCGGTGTCAGGCTGGAAGTCGAGCGAGGCGAGCTTTGGGGGCGGGTTGTGGGTGTCTGCTGCCGGTAGAGGCGAGGGCTTGATGACGGGGGCGCGGGTGAGGTGGTAGTTGAGGATGGCCTTGCCGTCGGCCTCGTAGATGCTCTTTGCCGACATCGTAGATAGTAGAAGTAGAGTAGAGGCAGTAGTAGTGTAGAGATAGAGCAGCAGAGCAGCAGAGTAGTGAGAGAGTGAGTAGTGAGTAGCGAGAGCAGCGAAGGAGAGAGAGAGCGAGAGAGATGAAGCTGTATAAGAGGAGGACATTCGAGGCTGCAGCTGAAGATAAGCAAGAGACGAGACTGTGTGGTGGAGCGTTGGGGCAGAGTGACTTCTCTTCCCTCCTTATTTTGGTGGAGAGAGAAGTCACTCTGCCCAAGCTCGCATTTTCCCACCAAAAGCGCTTGTTGAGGCAGCCTCGCTGGCTTTTCTTCTTCTTCTTCTTCTTCTTCTTCTCTTCTTCAGCCTGAAAGAAAGGAAAAAAAGCTCCTTCGCCTCAGCGTCTTCTTCTTCTTCTTCCTCGAGCCGACGGAGCTTCTCTCTTTCTCACGTCTTCGCCTTTGCCTCCTTCAAGTCCTCCTCTTAAGCCATCTTCTATCCTTTCACTCTCGCCCTCAAAGGGATCAGACCACAAACATCGCCAGACGAGACTCGGATCGACCTCGACAGCTTCATCTCTCTTATTATACCAGCTTCTACTGCTTCTACTTCTCCTTCTACTGTCACCATGGGCGCCGACGGGAACCTGTCTGCCAACGACAACATCACCCGCTTCACTGCTGCCTCCCGCCCGCTCACCCCCCTCGAACACAACCTCTTCCACAACAAGACACGATGCTTCGTCTAGTACGTACCTCAGCAGCTATGGAGAGATAGAGATAGAGAAATAGAGATACTGACTGACTGGCGCAGTGGAATGCAGCCGCGGGCGGTCCAGGGGATGCTCGACTTCGACTTCATCTGCAAGCGGTCGACCCCCTCCGTCGCCGCCATCATCTACACCTTTGGCGGCCAGTTCGTCAGCAAGATGTGCGTTCTACCCTTGCAATGTTCAATGAAGAACCGTCAATTGATAGTTGCTGATGTGGCGTAGGTACTGGGGAACGAGTGAGACGCTGCTGCCCGTCTACCAGGACACCAACAAGGCCATGGCCAAACACGCAGACGTCGACACCGTCGTCAACTTTGCCTCGTCTCGCTCCGTCTACTCCTCGACAATGGAGCTCATGGAGTTCCCCCAGATCAAGACCATTGCCATCATCGCAGAGGGCGTTCCTGAGCGGGTAGGTTACTACTCTTTATATTCTTAGTTTATTATTTCAATGTTGGATGCTAAGTCGGGCAGAGGGCGAGAGAAATCATGGTACGGGCAAAGGAGAAAGGAGTCACCATTATCGGCCCTGCTACCGTCGGTGGCATCAAGCCCGGTGCGTTCAAGATCGGAAACACCGGCGGCATGATGGACAACATCGTCGCCTCCAAGCTGTACCGCAAGGGATCCGTTGCCTACGTCTCCAAGTCCGGCGGCATGTCCAACGAGCTCAACAACATCGTCTGCCAGACCACCGACGGCGTCTGCGAAGGTGTCGCCATTGGCGGTGACAGATACCCCGGAACCACCTTTCTAGACCACCTGCTGCGCTACCAGGCCAACCCAGAGTGCAAGATCCTCCTCCTGCTCGGCGAGGTCGGCGGCGTCGAGGAGTACCGTGTCATCGAGGCCGTCAAGAACGGCACCATCACCAAGCCCGTCGTCGCCTGGGCCATCGGAACCTGCGCCAGCATGTTCAAGACTGAGGTCCAGTTCGGCCACGCCGGTGCCTCTGCCAACTCCGACCTCGAGACCGCCGTCACCAAGAACAAGTCCATGCGCGAGGCCGGCATCCACGTCCCCGACACCTTCGAGGACCTCCCCGACGTGCTCGCTGCCGTCTACCAGAAGCTCGTCAAGCAGGGCACCATCAAGCCCCAGCCAGAGCCCGTTGTGCCCAAGATCCCCCTCGACTACTCCTGGGCCCAGGAGCTTGGTCTCATCCGAAAGCCCGCCGCCTTCATCTCCACCATCTCTGACGACCGTGGCCAGGAGCTGCTCTACGCCGGCATGCCCATCTCCGACGTCTTCAAGGAGGACATCGGTATCGGCGGTGTCATGTCCCTGCTCTGGTTCCGTCGTCGTCTGCCCGCCTACGCCTCCAAGTTCCTCGAGATGGTCCTCATGCTCACTGCCGATCACGGTCCCGCTGTCTCCGGCGCCATGAACACCATCATCACCACCCGTGCTGGCAAGGACCTCATCTCCGCCCTTGTCTCTGGTCTGCTCACCATCGGCTCCCGCTTCGGTGGTGCCCTCGACGGTGCTGCGGAGGAGTTCACCCGTGCCTTTGACCGGGGTCTCTCCCCACGCGACTTCGTCGATACCATGCGCAAGGAAAACAAGCTCAGTAAGTTTAACTTCAACCTTAATGTAACATCCTTGCACAATCCACAGTTACTCTATAAAAATATAAAAAAAAATAAAAAGGAGACCCCTGCTAATTGTTTAGTCCCCGGTATTGGCCACCGTATCAAGTCCCGCGCCAACCCTGACCTCCGTGTCGAGCTGGTCAAGGAATACGTGATCAAGAACTTCCCCTCGCACAAGCTCCTCGACTACGCCATCGCCGTCGAGACAGTCACCACCTCCAAGAAGGACAACCTCATCCTCAACGTCGACGGCTGCATCGCCGTCTGCTTCGTCGACCTCATCCGCAACTGCGGTGCCTTCACCCCCGAAGAAGCCGAAGACTACCTCTCCATGGGCGTGCTCAACGGCCTCTTCGTGCTCGGCAGAAGCATCGGTCTCATCGCCCATTTCTTGGACCAGAAGCGCCTGCGCACCGGCCTCTACCGCCATCCATGGGATGACATCACCTATCTCCTGCCTACCTTGTCCAAGGGCTCGTCGGCCGAGGGTCGTGTCGAGGTCAGCATCTAAGCACAAGCACACTGCAACTTACGGCAATTGAGATTTGAAAATAGATGGTGGAGGGATGGTAGGTAGATACTAGCTTGACTTTTCAACCCTTGATATGAAAATTAGTCCATGATAATAATACTTTTCTTCGTTCGTCTTCAACTTATCCAGTTCGTAGATGTCATCTTCATAGTCTATAGACTCAGGTGTGGGTAGTTGGTTATCAATGAATGTTATCTTTGACGTTGAAATTTCAGCCGCCCCAAAATAATAAAAAAACCATCAAATCAACGTCACTCAATCAACGACAACCACCAACACCCATATCTCATATTCTCTACAACAGTTCATAAAAGACCAATTGATAAAGCCAATTGATAATACCAAGATGGTCCGTCTGAAACATCGATATCTGCTGGTTAATATACTCTACCCGCCGCAGACGGGCGCGCAAAAGACCCAGCTAGACGAAAAGGCCTTCCACCTCCAGCTTCACCGGCCAACCCCAGACGCCCTTACGCCTCAGGCCCTCGCCAGGATGGTCAGGGAGGCCGTCGCAGAGATGTTCGGCGACTGGGGGATGGGCAGGCTGGGAGGTGCTGGCGCTGGTGCCGTCAGTGGTGTGTTTTTTTTCCATCTTCTATGCCTTACCTTACCTACTAGTTACTACCATTGATAAGTTACTGACCGACTGAATAGTGAAATATCTCTCGCCTGCTACGTCGACGGCCATCATACGCTGTCCTCGAGCAAGTTATCGTCTGGTATGGTCGGCCTTGACATACACGTCAAGTCTCCCTGCTGGCCGACAGAGTGCGGGCGCCAACGAGATCGACCAGCAGCAACGCTGTGTCTTCCGCGTCGTTCGCGTCTCGGGCACCATGAAAAAGGCCGAGCTCGAGGCTATCCGCCGGGCTCGCATGGAGGTCGTCAAGTTGACCCGGGAGTGGGAGAATGGGGGCAAGGCTGCGCTCGAAGGCATGTTTGCTGCCGACGGGCCTGCGGTGCCGCCGGAGCACGGGATTGAGAGTGCAAGTGAAGATGACGGCGACGACGACAGTGAATAAACGCCGTCTTCTTTTTGACTTCTTCTTTCTTCGCTACCTCCGTCTGATCGGTGACTTTTACGAAAGGTTAGGTACGTATGTATGTATCCTGATTATTCTCCGTGTGATATTGTTCCCCATATTACCCCCGCAAAAAACGCCCCTACCATTTTTTTTTTCATTTTTACCGGGTTTATCATTATTCGTTAATTACTTTGGGGGTTTCCTTACCACCTTGATGCCGTTGTTGGGCGGGACATTCGACATTAGCTCGTCCATGTCCATGTCGTCGTTGTCACCAGCAGGACCGGTTGAGCTCATTTCTCTCGCCTTGGCTTCTGCTTCCCAGTCCTGCCTCTCCTTCTCATCCCATTCATCCTTCGCATCTAGCCACCTCTCCTGCACATCCTTGACATCCATTACCCCCATACCTTCTCTAACAGCCACCTGCCAGACTGTATCGTTGGCGCCCTCAGCGGACCCAAATGCATACCCGCCCGCTCGATCGATCGCATGCAGCAGGCTCATCATGCTCTTCTTATCCTCTACCGCCAGCGTCTCGAATCCTACCAGCCCGAAATCCTGCACTAGCTCGACTATGGCGGAGTTCAGCGCGTCGAACTTGGAATTCGCGAGCCACGGCGCTTCCTCGTTCAGGTGCGGTATCAGGTGCGACAGGTCGTGGACTTCGGTGTAGAAGTCCAGGTTGAACGGGAGGGAAGGATATTTGCTGAGGTTGTCGATCTTCGTCAGCACGTTCAGGTGCGGCAGATCCATCTGAAGCATTGCCCGAAGTGACAGCAGCAGCGCCGAGATGTACATCGACGGAAGCGTGAGGTTATAAGAGTCAACCAGGTGCACTACAACTAGCTATACGCATCGCATGTTAGCATATTAACTCGCCTGCCTGCATGCACTCTGCGCGCGAGTAAAAGGCAGCCGTTCAAACTCGAGAAATGGGGCGCTGCACACTCTATACCCAAGTTTCTGGATCTTGAAGAACATGTTCCTTAGTGAGCTGTGGTGTGTGAATATCTCCACCTGGCCAGGACAGTCGAACAGCACATAGTCATCTGCCAAACCAACCAACCGTTAGAAGAGCCATACATAGTAGATGTAAGAGAAACATACCTCCCAAGCTGTGTAGTCCTTCCTCAAGCCACTCGAAGTTCTCCTCGAGCTCCTCCAGCGCATACAGGACAGCTCCGTTCGGGCCCAGGGTGTCTTCCTTCATGATCTCTTCCAGCGTAACGAGCTCCCGCACGTCCACTGCCGGCGTATACGAAGTCTGGTCGTTGGCCGGATCCAAATTGACGATCGAGCACTTGCGCCCGATGGCAGACATGAACTGCTGCATTCCATTGCAGTACGTCGACTTGCCGGACCCAGGAGGGCCGATCACCAGCTGTGCGAACGGCATCACTCGCTATCCCGCTGCTCGTCTGTCTGTATTAAACCACTACTAAATAATAATAATAATATATGAAGCTGCGTCAAGATGTTTTGCTTTTTTGTCTTATCAAAAAGTCGAGAAAAAGAAAAAAAGGCGGTGAGGGGCGGCAGAATCCACCCTCTTTGAAGCTTCCAAAAGTCGAAATGAAAGTCGAAGAAGCCGAACAGACATTGATAAACATTGAGAGACGTTGAAAGACATTGAAAGACATTGAAAGGGGTTGAAAGGCATTGAAGTCGACCGGGTGATTATTTATATTACGCGAATAAGTGTCTACAGATGGCTTCTAGTAAGTGTTGCCTGCCGCCTGCCGATTGACCGTGTACTGAACAGGGCTTTCTAGACCATTTCGCCGTTGCGAACCCGCCCTCGGACGTGATATCGGCCGTCCAATTCTCCCCCGAGCCAGAGTCGACGCGCTTTGTGGTGTCGTCATGGGACAAGAACGTATATCTGTATGACCTCAGAGACGAGAACGGCACTATTGGCGAGGGGAAACTCATACAAAAGTTTGAACATCGCGCGCCGGTGCTAGATGTCTGTTTTGGCCAGAATGAAGACGAACTATACACTGCCGGGCTGGACTGGGACGTCAAAAAGTCAGTCAGCTCAAAGAAGCTATGATTTTTCTTTACGTGTAGTGTGAATACGCTGACGGTTTGCGTGTGGTTACAGGATCGATATACAGACCTCGACCCAGACGGTGCTGAGCTCACACAGCCAGGGCGTGAAGTCGGTGGTCTACAGTAGAGAGCATGGCCTGGTCGTCTCGGCGTCGTGGGACATGACACTGCACATCCACAAGGCAGACGGGAATGCTTCGCCCGCGACCATCCCGCTGCCATCAAAACCTTTCTCCCTCTCCGTTACCCCTACCAAACTCGTCGTTGCCATGGCTTCGAGAACGCTACACATCTACGACCTCAAGTCTCTGGTGCTATTCCTGGAGCAGTCCAGCGACCAGCCGCCAGCTCACACCCTCGAGCTCGAGCCCTGGCAGCGCCGCGAGAGCAGTCTCAAGTTCATGACCCGGGCGGTGGCCTGTATGCCTGATGACGCTGGCTACGCCTCATCAAGTATAGAAGGGCGAGTAGCGGTAGAGTGGTTTGATCCCTCCGACGAGTCTCAAGATCGAAAATATGCGTTTAAATGCCATCGGCAGCACGTTGACGGCGTCGATGTTGTCTATCCCGTTAACGCCCTCGCCTTTCATCCTGTATTCGGCACTTTTGCCTCTGGAGGTGGTGACGGAGTGGTTGCCCTGTGGGACGGGATTGCGAAGAGGAGGATACGGCAGTACCCCAAATATCCTTCCAGTGTGGCTGCATTGGATTTTAGCTCTAACGGGAAATACCTTTTGGTTGGGATCAGCCCTGGATTCGAGGACGAGAAGGACGATGTTCCCGAGGGCAGCGTCAAAGTGATGGTTAGAGAACTCGGCGAGACAGAAGCAAAGGGGAAAGGAACCAAATAGGAGTATCATTTATATCGTGTACAAAAACAAGAAATATTAAAGACTCTAGTGTATTCTGGGTATCCTCGTCGATCCAAACCCCTGGAATCTTTGATCGTCTTTGATCTTATATTCAATAATCATGAACCTGCCCAGCGTTACTAGTATACAGAATAACAAGGAAGCAATTTTCTGAAGATGTTTGGGGGGATAAGTACAGGTTTCTTCCCAGACCGTGATCCGCCGAAGAACCATATATCCCGCATACACCAGGGTAAAAGACACGCAGTAACAGGAAATAAAATAAAAGGCTATTAAGAGGTTATGAGGGTAGGCTGGAGCTTGGTATCAAGAACCCCTAGAGGCGGGTGGGGTGAGAGTGATAGTTCCGACATAGTTTCATCCTCACTAGCATAGACGTCCATGGCCATATCTGGGGATTCATCATCGAAGTTGTCTTCTAGGTCAAGCGGCTCCGCTCCGCCGGCCAGGGCTGTTACCGCCTGAAGCACCCATTGCATTTGAAGAAGCGCCACATCCGGCAGCGGATGTGTATCTGCGTTGGCGGTTTTGATCACGATGAGATCACCACTAAAAATCCTCAGATCCGTGTCCACATTGTACAGCTTGACCTTATCGACCGCTTGGGCCCCGCGCTCTCCAACCCATCTGCGGTCATTTATCGCTGGAACGTCGGGTTTTGCTGAGACTCGCATGGCCGACGGGACGTCGACACGGGGCAGCCAGTAAAGGCGAAGCTTGAGTTGAGTCCTATCTTCGCTGACCTCAACTGGCTTCAAAGCAAAATAGGCCTTCTCGTGATATTTGTGGACATGGGGTGCAAGGCAGAGCATATTCGTCACAGTCTCAGTAGTGGGTTGGATGGCTCGAAACCATTCGTCGACCTTATCCTCGGTCCAGAAACGCCTTAAAACCCTCCAGGGGCTATAAATGTCGTTGCTTGCCTCGGGTGATTGGGCATATCGCATTGAGAATGGGAAGATGTGGGCCACCTCTATTGGTCTACCGGCGCCGGTAACGATGCACTTCTGGCTATCGCGTTCACGGCACTATAAAGCTTCTCGTAAGTATAGCAGAAATAGATAACTACCCAGGTAAGAGACTAACCTTTTCAGCTTCGTCTGATGATCTAGTAATCTCTCCTAACTTGCGTTTAAGCCTGCGTGGAGCCGGGCTATTAGGAGTGCTTTTTGGGGACTGGGCAGGGGCAGGCGAAGATGAGCGGGGAGTTGATGCTGCAGAGGACTGCCGGCTTTTCTGGGTCCCTATACGCGGCAACTGTCAGTAAATACTTTCCCCCCTGCGCATGAAAGTCAACTTTTCAGGAGGAAGCGAAGAACTCACAGTATTTCACCATCTGCCCTTGCCTTACAAGCGCATCCAGGATAATGTACTGATCCCTAGCGTCGTCGTCTCGTACCTTTGCAATGAGTTCTTTCAGCTTATCAAGGTCTGCTAGCCATAAGAAAGCCCACAGTTCTCTCGAGACAGGCCGTTCGTTAAAAAGGCTGTCAAGTTCACGCAGTAACTCAACCCGCGCGTCGCTGAAGAATTCTGCCTCCAGAATATGCACGCCCTGGGTTGTATCCATGGTTAACGACAAGCACCGGACTCAAGAGGCCGACTGAAATCAGCTGGTTGGATGGCAAAGGCTCTGTAGATTGATATCAGACGGTGGGAAGTCAAGCTCGAACAACTGTCGCGCCTTGGGTGAAGCTGAGGGAGGGCGCTCGATTTCGTCCTTTGATCCTGGGAGTAGAAAGTGAGAAGTCTGTAACCAAAGGGCACAAAGGACAGGCAAGAGATGGTGACTGACGAGTTAACTAAGTGAGAAGGCAAACGCCTCGCTCGACGGGGTGTTGTTATATTATGTAATTAGGGCTAACGATTTAAGTCACATGACAAAAGTAAGGTTCCAATTTCCATAATTTCGTGTATCAACAAGCTGCGATGATAACTAGTTAATTAACTGCCCAGTGAGAACTCAGCTAACTATCTACTTCATCTGGGTTATTTATCATTGGCATAGGTAGATAGACAAGAGAAATGCACACCGTTAAGCTGTAGGATAATTCTTTCGATTTCCATTCCTTACATCCCGTATCGATAATGCACACGGGGATCCTTCGACCCATGGCGTCGAAACCTGGTTGCATATATATCTGGAGAATACTTCCAACCCATACGCCTCTGCTTGTTCCGAACACAGTTTTGCCAGATCTCTCTCTGAGGGGTAGGCCTGGGGTCAACGAAGATAAATAATTCTTCAGTGCCATCTGCGCGAAGAGCCTCAATGCACTTTGTGGACCAGTTGCTATCAGCATGGCCTTCAAGACTGAGGTTTTGTTCCCCCCATTCCTCCGGGAGATCCATTCCATCAACAAGATCCTCTAGATCACCCAAGTTTTTGGTGTCAATCAAGCTCTGTACGTACACTTGGAGCTTAGGGTAGGGAAGATTGCCTAGCCAAATCAGAAGTGTGCTTTCTTCAATAGCAGATATACAGATACTGACCTTTGCTCCATTCTAGGTTTTCAGGAACGCAGGCAATATGACAGTAGCTTGCCGGCAACAGCAGCCAGAAATCGGTCCTTCCAATAGCCTTGAATCGAGGGTATTTGTGGTTGAGTGAACCTGGCGCTCTCAGTGGAAGTGGCCCACAAGGCTCCAGGATGTCACTATGTGACTTGAAAAGCCTGACAGCATGTTCATGATGCTCGTATCGGCCTTGGAGCATAAATTATGAGTTGACACCACCTACATTGGGCAAACGCGAAGCACCAAAGTAAATAAGAGCATACTCTTCAACAAAACAACAGCAGATGCCAGCTTCTATCAGGATGGAGACAACAATCGAGATCTGTTCGGGGGATGGTCGTGCGTCACCTGGATTTCCAACGGCTAATGGATGGCATGCTGGAGAGACCTCTAGATGCTCACTGTCTTCTAGAGATTTGCTCATCTTGCTATCCGTCAAGCTAAGAGGCAGAGTAAACTAATGGCATATAGAGACAAGTAAAAGCAGACAAGAGAGAATAATATAGAATACAAGAAAAGATAAAAACCCCTGTGCAATCAAACTGACTGCCCTGGTTGGGTGAATCCATTCCAAGGCCAGGGGAAAATTGCAGGTTCGGAATACTACTAGTTATTTCCCCGTAATTTAATGCAGTTAATTGGAGGATGACCATATACTAAGGATAATCTATTTTACCTGTGCGAATTAATTAATGTAGCCTAGATAGAAGTCATAAATTAGCCTATTTTATGCATATCAAGGTCCCTTTAACTAATAGTTACCCCTATAGTTAGATCTTCTTCTGAGCTGGAAAATAAGAAGCAAAGTCATTCGTTGTGGGTGCCATGAAGTACAACATTGTCCAAATTCATCTTGAGCAGTTGGCCTACGGCCTATATATTAAGGGGTAATTAAACGCATATTAGAACAAAGAGTGCTACTTGTAGTACATGTCGTATTATCGGTATATGGAAGTAGTAGTATCCCCGTTCTCAGCATGACTGAAAAAGTACTTGTGCCATCTCCGAGGCTCGCGAGTTAAACAGCAGCTGCTCTGGGGTAACTTTATAGCCCTGCCGATTCCATGTTGTAGCCAGCAATATAATAGAAACCAAATCACCTCCGGCATCGAAGAAGTCCGAATCCCAATCTATCAGTAAGTCTGGCTGTTCCAGCGCAGATCCCCAGTCAGTTTGGATGGTCAGTAACATTTCACCAGACCTTGACTGAAAGCTGCTCTGTAAAGTTGCGTATCGACTTGTACCTGTAAAACACTTGCTCAACGGCGGAAGAGATTGTCCATGGTCTATCAATTCAGTAACAAGGAGGTCAGTAGCCTCAGAAGTATAGAGCCTGTGGATTGTATCGCAAAGAATGGATGATATTCTGTCCGCTGCGAGCTCTCCAACTGATAGCGATGACGAAATGAGAAGAACCTCAACTTCATTTCCGCTGCGGGGGGTCGTCTTGATAGCAATATCTGACTCGTCTGCTGCTGGACAGAAATCACCAACTGTGTACTCCTGGTCATCCAGCAGAACCGTGGCAGTTTCATCGATATTTTGGTGCTGGACTATGGTGCTGAACCGCGTGTACGGCTTCCACGGGCTGCAGTGACGAACAATATCTCGCATCCCAGTAGTTTCGTGGGCCATACTGGCGACGTGCTGGGATTGTAGCTGCTGTAGAAGATCAAATGCAGTGGTAGTAGTGTCCATCTGGGCCCTCACTGGAATAATGTTGAGACACGGACCGATCACTCGCTCGATGCCCTTTCCTGGGACGGTGCGACCGGAGGTTACATGGCCGAAAATGATATCTGTCGTTTCCGAGAGAGAGGCGAGAACGATTGCCCATGCGGCCTTAAGGACAGTTGCGAAGGTAATTCCTTGATTCGACAACGACAGCTGAGAGGGAATGGTGATAGATCGCCTTATGTGCAAGTCGTAGGTGTTTTGATAATATGGTCTGGACTGTTCTACCACATTTGTCATTTTAGAATCTGCCAGTAGGGCTTTCCAGTATGCCCTGGAGTTTGTGACTTTTTGCTGAGAGATAATGGTTGATATATAGTTTGCAAAGGGGATCTCTGGCGGGCATCTCTTGCTTGAAAAGGCCGTTTGTAGACTCTGCCAAATCAGGGGTAAGCTTATCCCGTCATATTGAGCATGGGATAAGCGAAGAATAAGTCGATGCCGTTCATTATTTCCGACCACCATCAATTTAGTCAGTGGATCGCTAAGGTCACGGTCAGACTGAATGTCTCTCTGATATAAATCGCGGCAGAAAGAATCGATATCATCATCAGTTCTATGCCAGGAAATGCCTTCCAAGACCTGCTTTAGGATAACCTGGTAAAGACTGCTTTGATAAAAGACGAAGACCGTTCGTAGGATCTGGTGTTTGCTAGTAAACTCGAACCATTTCTCTTGGATGACGTCCTGATTCCAAGGTATCTCTCCTTTCCCCTCAAGATAAATGTAGTTGAGAAGCCCTCTCGTCTTCAGCATGGAATGTGCAATGGCAGACGACTGGAAATCAGTTGCTGGTAGAATATCTGCAATATTTCTAAGGCTAGTTTTGACATCTTCAGCGACTATCGAGAGCATATCTTCCTCTGGTTGCCCCGGAAGCAACGAGAACTGCTCATATATCGTATCGACAGAGTGATTAATATCACGGCTTGACGGATGAACCATAATCAGAGAAGCCATGTCTGATAGAATAGGGGTCTCAAATATCTGCTGTACTGTTAAGGATATTCCTTCGGCTTGAGCTAAGCTTGTCAATCTCATTGCAACAATCGAGTCTCCGCCGGAGTGGATAAAATGGTCAGTAGCTCCTATCGTATCAACCTCTACATGAAGAGCCCTCGACCAAAGTTCGCGAAGTTTGAACTCTTCCTCCGTAGTAGGTTGCACATGCGGAGTGTCTTCTATTAGGGAACAGCTGGTAATATCAGCATTTGTCAAGGAGTTGACAAGCCCACGTAGCTGTCGCCGGTCTACCTTTCCGTTCATTGTAAGGGGGACTCGCGCCAAAGGTAGATAAAGGGATGGAATCATGTATGAAGGCAGCGATTCCCGAAGGGCCTTCTGGAGTTCTATCAACCGGTGACGGAGGTCTTCTGTCATGTCCATGATCTCAGCGTGGCCGCTAGCATTGTTAAAATGCAGGAAAGCAGCTACAGTTTGTCGACCTGTGGATGCATCCAGGATAGAATCGACTGTGACATGAGCAATGCTATTCATAGATGTAGATATGGCATGCTCGATCTCCCCTAGCTCCACGCGCTGCCCGCGAACTTTAACCTGGGTATCTTTTCGGCCAACAAATCGAATGGTTCCGTCACTATTATAGCGAACAAGATCACCTGTACGGTAGAAGCGGCGAGAAGCACCTGGAGTAAAAGGTGGAGCCCAAGAAGGGTTGCTCACAAAGGCCTGTTCTGTCCTTTCTATATCGTGAAGATACCCTCTAGCAATAGTAGGACCCTCAAGCAGGAGCTCGCCCACGCAACCAAGTGGAGTGAGTTGATTATGATCATTCGGATTAGCAACCCAATAGAGCGCCCCGATAGCGCTTCCTAGATTGGCTGGATCGCTGGTAGCTGTCGCAGGAGGTGCTCCAGAGCAGTATATAGAACACTCTGCAGGACCATAACACACAATGAGCTCAAGGATATTGTACCATCTATTGATAATTTCCCATGTTGATGCTTCTCCTCCTAGAACCAGCTTCTTTAAGGAAGGGACGGAGTCTGGAGGAAGCAAGCTCGCCACTGTAGGTGTTAAGAAAGCCCAGTCGCACCGGAATCGGACAATAGCATCTGGAAGCGCGTTCAGACGGTCATGATCAGAAGGAATGCAGATACAGCCGCCGCGTTGTAATGTTGTAAATATATCCGCACAGCTTACATCGAATGTATATGCGGCAAACTGCAGCACCCGGGTCTCAGCCCCAATCCCCCAGCGGGTGCCGTGGGCTTTAGAGCTAGAACATAGCGAGCGGTGCTCAATAACAATTCCCTTAGGTTTACCAGTACTGCCCGATGTGAAGAGCACATATGCTGCATTTGAAGGGCTGGGGGGAGATGGCTCTATGCTAGAGTCAGGAGAGCCAGCTAACTTGTGTATGAGGTCCTCTGTCACCACAACTTCATTCTGAGGAGTAGATGACCCTAGTATCCCAGAATAATGAGGGGCACAGAGAATGATACTTGTCTGAGAATCTTTGACGATTGTCTCAAGGCGGCCCTGGGGATGTCTAGGGTCGAGGTTTACACAAGCTCCACCAGCTTTCATCACAGCCATCTGTGCCACCACAGCCCAGAGGGATTTGTCGAAGCAGAGGGGGACTAATAGCTCAGGTAACACCCCTAGGTATGTAAGATGCCGTGCGAGCACATCTGAAACGTCGTTGAGTTCTGAATAAGTGAGTTGTCCATCCCATGCATCAATTGCTATATTAGATGGCCGCTCTTGAACCTGTTGCGCGAAAACTAGAGGTACTGTCGATTCAACTGTCTCAGGATAGGCCCGGTTCCACTCCAGTAGTTGTTGCCTGTCTCTTTCGCCAAACATGTCTGTCTCCTTTATTTGAAGATGATAATTGGAATTATCTGTGAATATTTTCGAGATTTGGCCGAGATGGCTCATCATATTCTCGACCTGCCAACAGGAGAGCAAACATCCATCATATCTTGCCTCAATTTGAACCGTATCGTCTGAAACGTGGCATTCTACCACAAGTGGGTAGCTGTCAAAACCTTTCAGTGGTAAATCAACTTCATTACATCCTGGAAGCAGAGCATCAGTAGATGTAGTTTCCGAGATAGGTTGAATTACGAGCAAATTTTGGAATTGAGTGGCTTGGCTGCATTCTGCACTCAACATTGATATATTCTGTACTCCAAAATGCTCATGGGGTATCATTTCTGTGGCCTGTTGCTGGACATGGCTAAGGAACTCACTGAGAGTTTCAGTCGGGTTCAGCACAATCCGTACCGGGACTGTTGTAATGATTGGGCCGATTATCTTTTCGATGCCTGTGACAGGGCTATTTCTGCCAGAAAGGGTCATTCCGAACACTATATCCTGGGAGTCCGAGTATACAGAGAGAACGAACGCCCATGCGGCACGGAGTATAGTGCTTTTGAGAAATTCCGAGTTAACCAGCTTTGGTAAGGCGAACCTATACTTCAATATGTGTTGAACAGCCGGGCGATATCCTGGAACAGTAATCATTGGGAAAGTAGCTGGGCGCTGACCAGCCAGCTGGGCCTCCCAGAAAGTTTTGGTGGACTTGAGATTGGCATTCTGTAGATATTTGATGAATAGGTTAAAACCTGGGGTATCGGGGCAAATGCCGTTTTCATATATAGAACGGACCTGGCGAAGCAGTAAAGGTAGAGACCACCCGTCATATAATGAGTGATGAACCGTCAGAATAAAGTGATCATCATCAGTCATGGCATAACGTATCAGCGGAGTACCATAAGCAACATTTTCGCCCTGGTCCAATTCAAGGTATTGCTGGAGGGTTTCAGCATTTCTCCATTCGATAGAACTTTTGACTACAATCTGTATTGTCTCTCCATTCGAAGGCCTAACAAATCTTGTACGAAGGATCGGGTTTTTCTCGGATACGGTTTCCCAAGCAGCTCGGAACCGCGCTATGTCAGTAGATGGCTTGATGCGGACAACTTGTCTTAGGATATATGCTGTAGGGTTGAGAAATGTGTGCGTTACCATTCCGTCTTGGAGGGGGGTGGGAGGGTACGCATCCTCGATCAAACCAGGTGGGATACCGTACTGATTCGCAATATTTGACAGTATGGTTGATGCATCCTCTCCTTGGGCTAGAAGCTCAAATGGTTCTGGTTTTATTTCTCTCTGCTCTGCTTCGGACGATCTGGAATCTATAATCGCTGCTAGGCTGGAGAGGACTGGATAGCTGAATATATCTGCTACAGAGACCCTCATATTTTGAGATGTAATTGCAGCAAGCCTCATGGCAGAAATAGAGTCACCACCAATTTCGAAAAAATGGTCATCTGCTCTAATTTTTCTCACGGAAAGGTTCAATACCTCGCTCCAATTTTGTTGCAGCCATTTCTCAGTATGCGAACTTGGAGGCCTGCGATTATCATCTAGGGAGTATCTATCGAGTTCATCTTCAGATAATGCTGCCACAGATTCGCGAAGAAGCTTCCTATCCAGCTTCCTTGCTGTAGTCGTGGGCATCCAATTGGTGGGAATGTATATTGACGGCTGCATATAATGCGGCAGCACGCGAGAAAGCAACCTTTTGAGCCTGTCAACTTGTACCTTGAAACACTGTGTCATATTGGAGAGCAAAGGCAGTGTGCGGGTAGCAGCAGAGGAGTCACAGATAAAGGCTGTCAGAAGTGCTTGATCCTTCTCACCTCGGAGCATGACTATCTCAACCGCAACTTGAGAAGAGAATGGAATTAACTTTTTGACTTGATATTCAACCTCAGAGAGCTCGACCCGCTGTCCTCGTAATTTCACCTGGGTGTCTTTTCTTCCCAAAAAGGTAATACTGCCATCGACATTGTAGCGCGCCAGGTCGCCTGTTCGGTAGAAACGGCTACACATTTGGTTATTTGGTGCTGAGGAGAAACTTGGTTTCTCGAAAAATGAGTGGTCTGTCTTTTTTTTCGTCATTCAAATAGCAACGGGCAAGTGTTCCTCCTTGGACCAGAAGTTCGCCAACTGCACCAACTGGGGCAAGCTGTCCGTGATTGCTAGGTCGCACTATCCATGAAACCGAGCCAACTGAGCGGCCTAACACATCATGATGCTCCCGTGGTCCATAGAATGTCTTCATTATACAGAAGACACAAGTCTCTGTCGGTCCATAACCATTCATTAGTCGGCAATGTCCCGCCCACACTTCAATGCTATTCTTATCAAGGGGCTCGCCTCCTAATATTATTGTTTCAAGACTGGGAACTTGCTCGGGGCGGATAATGCGTATAACTGATGGGGTAAGGAAAGTTGTGTTGCAGTTTAGCCGGTTTATAGCCCCAGCTATATCATTCATACGCTCAGCTTCTGATGGAACGCAGACACAACCCCCATAGATAAGAGTTGTAAAAATCTCCAATATGCAAGCGTCAAAGGTGTAAGCGGAAAATTGAAACATTCTGGTCTTGGAGCTGCAGCCGATCTCCCTACCGTGGTAAAAGGAGCTAGTACAGACGGCGGAATGCTCTATAACAACGCCCTTGGGTATTCCAGTAGTTCCAGAAGTGAACAGGACATATGCAACGTCCGTAGGGTAGATCTTCGGGCAGGTATAATCATATGGCACTTCTTCTGCCCACCAATCTGAACAACTAGAAACCAATACAATATCCTGTGTTAAACTGGCGATTATATTTGAGGTTTCTGGGCTGGTAAGAGCCAAACGGGAGCCGGACTGGTTGATAATGGTTGCTAAGCGGGGTTTTGGGTGTTCTGGGTCTAGGGGTATGAATGCTGCCCCAGCCTTAAGAATTCCGAGCATCGCAACAATGGCATAAGAAGACTTTGTGAAACAGATGGGAATCATGTCCGAGGACCTAACTCCCATTGAAATAAGGACGTGAGAGAGTTGGGTCCCTCTTTTGTCCAAATCAGAGTAGGTAAATGTTGCATCCCAAGAATCAATAGCAATAGCATCAGGATTGCTCTTTGTGTTGATTTCAATGAGAGAATGAATACAATCATAGACGGGAGGAGGTACAACGGTGTTCCACTTCTGGACTTGTTGTTTATGATACTCGTCAAAAAGATTGACAGACCCAGCAGGGGACAGGGGGTTTGACACAATGTAGAAAAGTGCTGCGGATAAAGCGGAAGATACGTTCGCAGCATACCCAGGTGAGAGGCATGAAGCAGAATAGCTGATACCTATCTGGAGCCCGTGATTGGTATCTGTTACATTGACCGTTATGTCATACTAAGGAGTGGATTAGAATGGTATAAGTCTAAAAGACAGGTTGAACCGTGCCGAGAAACACTTACTTCGGTAGGGTCAAGTCCAGATATATACTCAATTTGCATATCGCCGAGAACAGTATTGCCCACATCACGGCGCTGCACACTCACAACTGAGTTAAATAATGATCGTCCCGTAAGACCCATATGATGTTGTATTTCAGCTAGACTCGTATGCTGGAATGGCAGTGCCTTGAAATACTCGTCTTGGAGATCTTGGAGTTCGCAAAGAACTGTTTTCTTGCTTATCTCTGCAATGTCGATAGTGCAGACAAGCATATTGATAAGAGGTCCGACAGAACTCTCAATCTTAGGAAGAGGGATCTCTCTACCGGCAGTAAGATACCCAAAGCACACCTGATCCTCTCCTGTATAGGCTGATAGAACCAATGCCCATGCCAAACGCACCACATTCGCGAGTGTCACGTCGTTTCGTCGACAAAACTGGCGCATCTCAGAGACACCGGGTGTTTTGACCTCAATATCATTCATAGCCGAGAGCCCTTCCATGGGGTCCAGCAAAGGGGGGAAATGGCATGGCATAACTTTGTCAAGGTAAGCTTCCCAAAATGATAACGCATCTTCGGTCGGTTGAGCCTGAATATGTGCTATGTAATCACTATAAGGCATAGCTGGAGTTGAAGAGAAGTCATCGTTATACGCTCGAGCAATGTCATTAACAAGAACTGCCATTGATGTGCCATCCATCAAAGCATGGCTTATTTCGAGTTTAAAATAAGCCACCCCGTCTCTGGACTTCGCAATTGTCATGCGGTGGGGAGGGCATCCTTCTTTGACAGAAACTATACCCAAAGCACATAGAGTAGCAATAGCATGATCAGGAGAGTCACATACCAGTATTGATGAGCGGGTATCGTAGCTGTGTAGAACAGCTTGGTCAAATGGTCTCTCGGATATGCCCGCTAAAAAGACAGTACGAAGTATAGGGTGTCGATTAACCACTTGCTGCCATGCTAATGCCAGTTTCTGCGCATCAGTTGGATTCCCGTTTGTTGATTTAACTCGCATAATCGCAGAATAAAGATAAGTCCCTTAATCTCGAGCTTGGCTAAGAAGCATGCCCTCCTGGAGCGGAGAGCATGAATATATATCCTCAAAATCAGCTATAGAAAATCCTAGTTGGGGTAGCTTCTGTGTTAGGAGAGCATCTAACGTCGAATAAGAAGATATCTGAAGCAATGGGTAATCACTTCGCGTGAGGGTAAAGTCTGTGGATACCAACTCCTGTGGTATAGTCTTCAGGCTCTGCGTGAAATTTTTGAGCCATTCCGCAATGAGCTCCGTATGTTTCATTTTTCGATTGAACGAGAATGTAAAATTGGCACGTCCGTTCACAATGTACGCATTAATATCGAATAGAGAATATCTCTTGACACATTTCCCAACATCGCCGTCGTTGAAAGGTTGAAGCTGAAATATCCCATCTTCTCGTTCAAGGCCTTGGTATAGTCCAAGGTAATTGAATAATATTTCTACCGGCATATGGTCTCTGAAGCGCTTCGCGCCGTCGGGATTCAGGTATTTCGAGGTAAAGTAAGACCAGCCGTTAGCTGGGAGTTCTTTTCTTTGATCCTTTACACGTCTCACTATGTCAGACAGCGTATCACTCGGCCCTATCGGTATGCTAAGTGGGAAGATCGTGGTAAACCAGCCCACAGAGTCTGACAGGTCAATATCCGAAGTCCATGGTTGGCGACCATGGCCTTCGTTGAAAATAGCTGGCGGCTCACGATCAAAAGTTTTGATAAAGGATACTAATATAGCAGTGATGAAGACATCTAGCGGCTCAGTCCTCATAGCTTGATGACAGCTATTCACTAGAAGCTGGGTCTCCTCGGCGTTCAACGATGCAGCTAGTTGGATTGTGTCTCCCTGGATGTTTTCTACTCCATCCATCCCCCAATATTCATAATTCGCCCTTGGAACAAAGTAGTTGATTGATGGCTTCGCCGTTAAGTGTTTACTAGCATAATCAGCCTGTAGTTTTTGCCATTTTTGGAAAGAAAATGGCTCGTTTCGCGGAATAGAGGTGTCCCCAAGGGCGTGATCTTCAAGTTCTTGGAAAATAATGCGCCATGATACAAGATCGATAACGAGGTGGTGAGCAACGAAAAAGATAAGAGGGTCTTCTCCAGCGATATTGAAATATTCAACGGCAAATACTGGGCCAGCTTGTATGTCCAGCTGCCTCTGAGCTGCAGTTGCAAGGCTAAGAGCCTCTTCTCGTGCTGAAACTGTGTGCTCTCGGAAACGATACACTGTCTTCCCTGGTCTTGTAATAACCTGCGTCCATCGGCCATCTGAAGACTTTCGGAACCGTGCACGCAGCATTGAATGACGCTCCACAATCACTTCAATTCCGCCCTTCAAAGTTTCTACGGGAACGTGACGTACGAGCCTTAGAAGGAAACTCTGGTTGAATTGATTTGCTGATATTTCCGTAGCACCTTGTGAGATTTCTTCGAAATATAGTTGCTGGATTGGGCTCAAACCAAAAGAGACTTCTAACAGTTCTTCTTCGTGCAGTGAAGGATGGTTGATAATTTCCACGGAGTGCACCATTTTGCTAATTGTCGAGCTGCGCATGACGTCTTTGAATGAAATTTTGAGGCCTTCATTGCGGCACATAACAACCAGCTGCATTGCAGTGATAGAATCACCACCAATGTTCAAGAATGAACGATTTGAGAGAACACGACTATTAGATATGTTCAGCACCCGAGAAATAATTTCCTGTAGTCGCTGCAAAATTGTAGAACTTGGCGAAGAAGCATTCCCCATGACATCGTTTTTCTCCTCAGCCACACGTTCGGTGAAGGCATCATTAAGACTTTCCACCCATTGTGATATTTTCCGACGATCAATTTTCCGCGAAATTGTCAAGGGAAGGTTTGAGCACACAATCCAGACAGTTGGAACCATGTAGCTTGGTAACAAGGTTGTCATGCGATCACGAATGGCATCGGCTTGGTTTGCAGATTCATCGTCATTCAACATTATCATTTCTGACGACTGAGGTTGGGTGTGTGAGATATCCTTGAAGCCGATAACAACGACCAGTTTTTTTGAGCAAGGCCCATAATTAGGAAATAGAACAACTGAATGCTGCACTGAAGAGTAACTGCTAATTTCCTTCTCAATCTCGGCCATTTCAACTCGTTGCCCGTTAAGTTTGATTTGGGAGTCTTTTCGCCCTACGTATACTAGACTCCCATCTGGCATTTGTCTGGCGAGGTCCCCGGTTTTGTAAAACCGTGATCCATTGGCAACAACCCCCCTCCATTTCGGAGGATCGATGAATACTTCAAGGGTAAGCTCAGGACTGATATACCCCTTGCTGACAATAGGGCCTTCCACAAGTAATTCCCCAACGCAACCTGCAGGGACCAGGTATTGACTATTCATCGGGTTTGTAACCCAAAATATACAGCCACGGGCTTTCCCTATGTTTGAGGGATGGAGTCCTTCATGCAAGACTGAAAAAGATGACATGATAGTGCACTCTGCAGGCCCATAGCTGTTTATCAAGCGTACTGGCTTTTGCCATAGTTGAACAAGGTCACTTGTAACGGCCTCACCCACCAATGCTAACATCTGTAAAGATGGCATTGCTTCAGGTGATAGGAATCCAGCCACTGAGGGTGTCAAAAAGGCATGAGTGACCCCAAGACGATTGATAGCGCCAGCAAGATCATTAAGTCGATCATAGTCGGAAGGCAAACAGACACAACCTCCAGTGCAGAGCGTAAGAAAAATTTCAGCATTGCTGGTATCGAATGTAAATGCGGAGAATTGTAGGACTGGGGATTCATTATTAATGCCCAAATCCGCGTTGTGGTCGATTAAAGAACATACCCCCTTATGTAGAACCATAATTCCCTTAGGTTTTCCAGTACTGCCAGAAGTAAAATTAACCATGGCTACATTGTCCGGAGATGCAAGCGATATAACACCTGGTTTGGCCACTGGTAGGTTGAAGAGGAGAGAAGGGTCCACCAGAATAACATAGTCAACCATATGCCGTATTTTATTGCCGTAGCTTTCTGATCCGGTAAGAACGATACGGGATTTAGTTTGATGGATGATATTGTCTATATGCCGAGCTGGATGTGCTGGGCTTATAGAAGTGTATGCACCGCCAGCTTTAAGAACCGCCAGCATCGATACTATCGCCCAGGGGGTTTTATCGAAGCAAAGAGCCACCACTCTTTCGGGACAAACGTCCAGGGAAATAAGGAGCGCAGCAAGCTTTGAAGATAATTCTTCTACTTGAATGTAGGAAAGAGACATATCCGCTGAACAAACAGCTGGTGATTTGGGGTATAGAGCCACCTGGCTGCTAAAGCGGCTATGAATACAATCATGGACCGAATATGGAACAGCACCGTTTCCGTTGATGGAAAACAAGTATTCGGTTTGTTTATTCCCCAGGGCATCCACACAATGCAGCTTCGTTGTTGGGTATTTCAGAAAGGCGGAAAGGATTGTGGTGAAGGTGGAGGTTAGCAACTCTGCTTGCTTTTCCGACATAATAGTACTCCAGTAGCTAATATCAATGTCGATAGCTGAATCATCCGCAGTGATGCTCACAGCCAGATCATACTCGGTTGGGTCGCTTCCACCAAGACATTGAATCTCAATATGTCCAGTTGAGTTCTGCTGCACCATGGGCCTCTGTAACGACAGTATGGTATTAAATAGGCGTTCACTGGCCAACCCGAGAGCATGTTGCATTTCGGCAAGCGACGTACGCTGATATGGCAGAGAGTTAACAAAATCTTCGTTTATATTCTGTGCCAAGGAAAGTAGGGTGGATGAGTCGTCTGCATTGACACGGCAGGCTAACATTGTGATAAATGCGCCTACTGCATTTTCCATGTCTAGACCATCGATTTCACGACCTGAAGACAGGTATCCAAAGACAACGTCAGACTCTCCCGTATATACACGGAGGAGGATGGCCCAGACAGTTTGAAAAATGTTCGCCATTGTTATACCATTTTCTCTGGAAAATGCTTGGAGGTCGATCATGGTAGACCCTGAGACTGGAATGTTGACGGTTCGCAGTTCCTTCATTCTCGAGTCACCGTCATGGAGCCGTGGAAAAAAGGTTGGTTTAGTACCTTCGAGGTATTTAGACCAGAAAAGTAATGTTGTCTCTTTTGGATGGTTCAAGGAGAGGGCTACGTAGTCCCGGTACAGAAGCCCCGGCTGCAATCCATGGGAATAGGCAGCTCTCAAATCTCGGAGTATTATTCCCATCGATGTGCCATCAATCAGAGTATGGTTGATTTCCAGATTGAAGTATATCTTCTCCTTATCCTCGCAGATGGTCATACGGTGTGAAGGAATAAGCTCATTATGGTCCAGGGGTTTATTATGGGGTTGCCGAGATAAACTATCGAAGTCCCCAACAATCTCTATCCGTGGAGTATGCTTCTTTAGAACGACTTGCGTATATAAATATTCTCGTGAGAGACCCTCCACGAAGAAAGTCCGCAAAGACGAATGCCTTGCAACAACGCGTGTCCACGCTACTTGTAGGTTTCCAATACTAACACGAGAGGTAGGAGAAGAACAATAAACTTCGCATACAACGTAGAACTTATAAGTTTCTGGCGCTTGGGCTTGGCTGATGAGGATACCTTCTTGCATTGGAGAGCAAGGATAAGCATCCTCTATATCTACCAAACCTCGATAACTCGCTTTCTTAGCTATATCATCAAGGGCTGATTCATTCATTCCCGGCAAAAGTGAAAATGGGAATAATGATACCGGTTCCTGGAAGTCAATGACACCTGGTGTATCTTGCCTGACGACTGCTTCGGCTGCAATCTGGCGTATGGTTTTGCTTTTTAACACTACCTTGACTGGAACAAGAATGCCTTGAGCTCGGCAGCGAGAAGAGACTTGCATCGCAGTGATGGAATCTCCACCTTGGGCCAGAAAACCCCGGCCCATCAAAATATTGGCTGGCCCGGTATTCAGTACTGAACTAATGATGGTTCTTATGATATCCTCAGTATCATTCCTTGGGAGACTGTCACCCTTGGTATCAGAGTCCATTGTTTCGTTCAGGTAGCTACTGGGCAGGCTGTTTATGTGGGACATAATGGAAGAACGGTCCAATTTACCATTTGTCGACAGTGGGAAGGATTTAACCGTAATCCACGTTGAAGGGACCATGTAAGACGGTAGAATGGATGATATGAATAACCTGACATTCGACACGATTGTAGGAAAATACTCTCCATTTTCATCGTGGAGGAATTTGAGTCCTGCGTCTCCCTTTGCCACAGAACAAAAGGTTTGGTTCTCTAGTAAGACTAGAGCTACCAGTTTTCCTTTGAATGGTCCTGCTTTTGGCACTAGAGTAACAGCATTTTGAATATCGGCGTGGAGTAACAAAGCGTTGTCAATTTCACCAAGTTCAATTCGTTGGCCATTTAGTTTCACCTGATGATCACGGCGGCCCATGAAATGAACAGAGCCGTCCGAGTTATATCGAGCCAAGTCCCCTGTTCGGTATACCTTTCTAGGATGCTCTGCCACGGAGGGATCATGCTTCATTAGCCACGCAGGCGGTTGTATAAATACTGCGTTTGTTTTGATTTCGTCGTTGAGATAGCCTCGAGCAACGACTGGTCCTTCTATGAGAAGCTCACCCACTGTGCCAATGACGCAGAGCTTGGATGGGTTATCTATTTCTGTAATCCACGTTCGAGCACCTAGGCCATATCCTATATTGAGAGGAGAGACGGAGGGTAATACAGGCGACAGTGCTGTACACCAAACCGAACACTCTGCAGGGCCATATATATTCACAAGATTGATATGCTCGGCCCATAAGTCGATATTCTCCTTTCGAACAGCCTCACCACCAAGTCCCAGAGTATGGACTCCGGGAATATCAGACGGCTGCAGTATGCTAGCCACAGACGGAGTAAGATATAACGCATTAATTTTAAAACGATTGATGACTCCCGCGAGGTCATTGAGTCTTTCGTCGTTACTTGGGATGCATAGTGTCCCGCCCCGTACCAGGCAGCCGAAAGTTTCGCCAATGCTGACATCGAATGTATATGCTGCGAACTGCAAAACACGTGCACCAGGAGCATACTTCATAACAGAGCCGTAGGCTTGGATGCTGCTGCAGAGTGCACGGTGCTCAACAACAATTCCTTTGGGTTTACCAGTGCTCCCTGAAGTGAAAACAACAAAAGCGGGGTTCTCTGGTGATATGGCTAAGGAAGCTGTTATGGTCGGTGGATCATCTCGCAAAGTGTCCAGAAACGATGGGCCAATGCTGATAACGGTTGACACAAACATCTCAAAAAGTGGTATATTTTCTTGGGAAACTAGAGCAACAGGCGCCTTGCATTGGCGGAGCATTTCCTCCCTACGATTTGGTGGATGTTCTGGATCAAATGCGACACATGCTCCACCTGCTTTGAGGATCGCGAGCTGTGATACAACCATCCAGCATGATTTCGGGAAGCATATGGGCACGAGGGTATTCGGTCCGATAGCATGGCTTGCAAGGTGTAGGGCCAATTTTGATGAAATACCATCAAGTTCCTTGTAGGTCAAGTGTCCATCCCACGCTTCCACTGCAATCTCATCCGGCTGTATCACAGCCCGCCTATGGATTAGTTCATGAATACAATCATTTACCATTGGCCACTGATCCTGATTCCAGTGTCCAATTTGGATGTTATCACGAGCAGACATCATATCCAGTTCTCCTATTGGTTGATGATAATTATTAGCAATCAAGTGAATAATATGTTGCAATGTTCCCATAACATTTTCAGCCATTGCGCTGCTTATGGTCTCATCAAAATGGCGCAATGTCAGGGATATCCTTTTCCTGGATACAAAGACGTTGACAGAGATATTATACTGTACACTTGGGTTAGCAAGATGCGCAAAACAGAGTGGAAAGAGCCATATATATACCTCTGTGGGATCCTTTTCAGAGACCACACTAAGAGCGATTCCCCGGTCAGAGCCATCAGTGGCTATTGTCTCATCTTGAGCACTCTGCAGCGACAAGATAGTGTTAAACAATGACTGTGAAATACCAAGAGCATGCTGTATCTCAGCAATCGAGCAGTGCTGATGTGGTAGCCCTCTGAGAAAATTATGTTGAACTTCTGTTAAAACGGTAGACACTACTTTGTCCGGTGACAAAGATGCTCGATAAATCATCATATTCACAAATACGCCTACTGCGTTATGGATATTTGGCACTGGGAGATCGCGGCCAGATGTTAAGTATCCAAAGCATACATCGTCACGCCGGGTATAAGCCCTTAGAGTAAGTGCCCATGCTGCTTGAAAGACAGTTGCAGGTGTAAAATTATGAGCCGCACAGAACCTGTGGAGCGCATCCGTATTCTTGATGTTAGTTACTATTTCACGGGGCTGATTTTCCCCCCCGCTGAAATCATCGTTAAGGGTTGGGAAGTAACATGGCACCACATCAAGCAGATGCTCCGTCCAGTATGAGAGCGACGCGCCCCGTGGGAGTTGCTGGAGGTAGCGAATAAACGGCGAGTATTTCACTGTCTTGGTACTGTCAAGTAAACCGCCGTATGCTTGACATATATCCCTCAATAAAACTAGACTTGATATACCATCAATCAAGGCATGGCTGATATCAATGGTGCAGAAGATCCTTCTTTCTGCCTTGACAGATGAAACGATGAAAGCGACTGGTGGCTGGAGGGGGCCATCGGTGCGTTTATATTCATCAAGGTTCCACCAAAACTCATTTTCATCCTCAAATTGCCATATATCAGCTAGCCCATCCCCTGTTTTCAGTACAAGTTGATCAAATAACCCGTCTTCTGTCTCTGTTTCTGTGTCGATGAAGATGGTGCGCAAGACGGGATGAAGTTGAACGACTTGGCGCCAAGCTCTGATTAATAAGCTCACGTTTGCGCACGTGCCACAATCTGTCCAGTGTCTCTCAACCTCAGCCCTACCAATGTTGTCGATATCAACTTCAGGACTTTGTGACGAGGACGATGATGCTGGCAACGGTACGACCTCACAAGTAAGTCGAAACTGATATTTGTCAGGGTAGTGCTGTTGAGCGAGAAGTATTCCGCGCTGGACGGGCGACAACGGATAGATATCCTCCACCTGACCCATTTCGAGTCCCAATTGCACAACCCTCTCCTCATTAACTGTACAATCTGGAAGTTCAGGGGTTAGCTGAGCACTATCAATGCAGCCAGCCTCGCTATTTTCGATTTTTTGAGCCAGGTCTAATATCGTCGGGAGTTGTATGATATCCTCTAGCTTCACGACAAGACCGTTATCGCGCAATGTACTCAGCAATTGCATGGCTTGGATAGAGTCGCCTCCATTTTGGATAAAGGATCTCTCTAACCAGACATCCTCTGGCTGGTCTAAACCGATAATTTTGCTACAGACCTCTTGTAGCTGTCTTTCCTGATTGTTCGATGGCAGAGTTCTACAAATTTCGGAGCCTTCATATTTGTCTGTCGCGCGATTGAAGATGTCTGTTGATATGGCAGATACCCACTGACGGACTGCAACTCCATCCAGTTTCCCAGAACTCGTTAAAGGAATAGACTTCACTGGAATCCAGATAGTTGGATGCATGTAACCTGGCAGTCGCTCCCGTAGGCTGCTCGCAATACCTTCCAATTCTGCTTTCGCGGCTGATAGTTCAAGGTCATCTATCAGTTCGACGTCCGTGGACATTTGTTTGAAGTTCTTTAATGATATGACTGCGGTTAGCGAGCCCTGACATGGGCCTTCTGTTGGGAGCACTACAACCACCTGTCCAGCCAATTCGTGGGACATTAGATGATGCTCAATCTCACCTAGTTCGATTCTAAGGCCTCGTAACTTCACCTGGTTATCTTTACGGCCACTGAAAGAAATGCTGCCATCAAAGTTGAATCGAGCTAAGTCCCCAGTTTTATAAATCCGACTGGAGCTAGAGGGTTCGACTGCAGCCCAACTTGTTGAGTTTAGAAACACTGCTTCAGTCTTCCTTTTCTCGTTTAAGTACCCGCGTGCCACGATTGGACCTTGTATTAGAAGCTCGCCAGGCGCGCCAATTGGGAGAAGCTTCTCGTGATCATCCTTATCAACAATCCAGCAGCAACCACCCAAGGGATACCCAATATTAGTGTGGCTGGAGGTAGAGGATAACCTTGGGTTTGCGGTGGCAGCAATAGAACACTCTGTAGGGCCATACCCGTTCGCAAGCCGAACATGTGGCGCCCAAGTTTGGATATTTTCGGGCTGAACTGCCTCACCACCAAGTACAAGGAATTTGAGCGATGGCACCATTTTTGGACTCATTAGTTTCACGAGAGATGGAGTCAGGAATGTCCATGTGATACCAAACTGCTGTATACATCTCTCCGGACCCTTGGACCTCTCTTCGTCATTAGGAATGCACACGCAGGCACCTGTGATAAGCGATGTAAGGATCTCCAAGACGCTTACGTCAAAGGTAAAGGAAGCCAGTTGGAGCACCTTGTCGCCATGGTTCATCTCCGACGCCTTCTGTTGTGCTATAGCCCCCGTTAGGAATTGGCGATGTTCAACCACGCAACCTTTGGGCTTCCCAGTACTCCCCGAAGTAAAAATGATGTATAATGCATTTGAAGGGGTAACTGTTGTGATGGACTGTCGAGTAAATGTTTTCTGGTCTACTTTGAGTGTGTCCACGAGTGTGGGATCAACTGGTAGCACCCTGCCGCCAAACCAACCCCATTTTCCAGAATACTCTTGAGCAGTTAGGATCAACTGTGAATTAGCCTGGCCAACTATATCTTTGTGTCTAGTTTCCGGGTGTGACGGGTCAAGGAATAGGATGGTGCCGCCCGCTCGAACGACGGCTAACATTGCTATCACAGCGTATACCGATTTGGGAAAGCAAAGAACGACGATTGATTCTGGTACCACGCCTAAGCTCTGCAGATGCAGAGCGATCCCTGCGCTCAAAGCATTTAACTCCTCGTAGCTTACACTGCGCTCCGAGGTCTGTATCGCTTGCCTAAGTGGATACTTAGAGACAGCCTCTTCGAAAAGGGCGCCCACACATCTGTCAATCGATTTGGGCGAGTTGCTACTCCATGCTTGTAACTGGTTCCGCAACCGGGGATGAACGAGGTTAATTTGTGATACCTCACTAAAAGGGTTGGCTAATATTTCCATCACAATTTGGCCAACTGTAGCTGAGACAATCTCTGCATATCCTTGATTTAAGTGGCTAGTTCTGTAGAACAAAGCAGCTCTAGGTGAGGGCTTCCCCGAATCCACATGGAGCCAGACGTCGAACTATGCGACACACTGTTAGATGAACTACTTCGCAAGAATTACAGGAGCGAGTGGCTACTCACTTTTGGCTCCCACTGTGCATTTTTCGTCTCATTGAATATCCAAACCGCAGAATTACATGGTACATCGGCTTCGAGAGAATCTATATTACCAAGCGCAGTACTCATAGCTTCCATTGGCATAGATTTGAGCAAGTCGTCGGATTTTGTATTCTCATCTATAGAGATCGAAAATATACCTGAGCTGGTGTCCGATATCGCTGCTGCACATACATATCCGCTACCGGTGAACGTTTTCAAGACCACGGCCCAGGCTGCCTGAAGTATTGCTTTGAGGGACACGTTCCCCCTTTCACAAAACCCTATGATCTCCTGGTAAGAGGGCAGTTCAATGGGTGTTTCTGCCAGTTCGAAGCTATGGGGTATTTCACTATCATCCAAAAGAACCGGAAATCTGCAAGCTGTTGCCGATGACCCATATCGTCTTGGGTTAATGGTATCAACGCTGTGAGGCATGGCGATGATGGTCAAGACGGTGGAAATGAATCTATGCAGAAGACAAAAATCCGAATGGTGGTATGCCCGATTGCGACAGAGGTTGCATTACCAATGGGAGCTAAATATGATTCATAGGCATTCAAGCTGAGTATTACCTTGGTGTGGCTTTATGGTAACACACTGGATCCTAATTATTTCTACCCGGCGTGGTCTTCCAGATAAACCGCTGCAATATACCCCGTAGCTAGCCATTTTCCTGGCTCAGTAGAGCTCAACCACGTGTATCTCGGAAGTAGCAACTCGAGTGGTATTCATCCTCAGCCGCAAATACCGAGAGAAGGATGCCTACGAGATTGCAATGCTGCCAGGATGCCATGAACCCTTGCCAGTGCTAATAGTATCATCCACAGGAGATGGGGCGCATGCACGTAACCCTTGCTTGTAAACTAGGATTTATATCATTGCAAAGGTAATCGATGAACTCGGTAGACCATGCTGCTGGGGGGTTACAATTGATTTCAAATCTAGTCTAGCCGGTTAATTCTCAGCTCCGATTTGCAAAAATATACACTGACAGAGAATATTTCCTGCGGTAATATCCTTATTTGGGCAAGGTCCGCGCCTGCATGAGGATTTAAGTTGTATCTCACCATCCCTGCTGCATGGTCTTGAATTCATATGCCTTATGGGGAGATACATTGAGATGATACGTTTATACTTTAGTAACTCTGTTTTTGAGAACAGCTGAGTGAAGTGCTGTCTTTAGCCCATTATTGGGTATAGATTCCTTCAGGGTAGCTGCGGCATCATTATATATTGAAACCTTACTCAACGTAAAATAAACAATCCAACGAGGCTGTCGGGGTAGTTACTTCAACAATGCAATGAAAATACTCCGGGGATAAAAAAAATAGACACGTGAGAACATCACAGGGGCCAAAATTTAATGTGGCTTCATGTTAAATCAGGTCAGTTCTCGGATTTATGACTAGTTAGTTACACAACGTATGTATGTCTAGTGTATGTCTAGTTCTAGCAATGGAATATACAACATAAATAAAGTAGTCAAAAAGAGCCATTTGATACGGCCAAGTTAGACATCTCCTATCTCTTGAGAATCAAAGCTGTCTATATCTATTATTTGTTTACACCCTCGGACATAACTGAATAAAGGGTCCATGTTTTGCGGCCGTTAGATGATCCCATAATTGATATTCATCAACTCGGTGACGCCCAAACTCAGATCCATGCTTGCCTTCCCCTACCTTACCAATCTCCCCTGGAGCCAAGCGAATATCAAATCTCCATAGGATATGAGCTAGCAAAAGTTGAAGCTCAACATAGGCAAGACTCTTGCCGATACAGCTTCGGGGACCAATGGAAAATGGGTTAAAAGCAGATCGTGCCAGGCGTACATCTGCCAGGTCTTCGTGTTTGTTAGTACCAAGCCAGCGTTCTGGCTGGAAGCTGAAAGGGCGAGGGTAGTATTGAGGGTTATGATGAATACTGTAGATGCAAGTTCCTACATCTACACCCGGGGGTATATATTCGCCATCTACAACTGCACCGGTTTCCTCAGATTCACGCCATAGGGAGCTGGCTGCAGGAGGGGACATCCGCATGCTTTCATCGATGCAAGCACGTAGAAAGACACATTTGTTCATCATTGGCCCCATTGTAATATCCTCAGATGACCCAAAGACAGTTCGAACCTCTGCAGTAGCACGATCATACGAGGATTGGTTGTGAGATAAGTAGAAGAAACATGATGCTAGGGCGGTAGATGTTGTGTCTGTGCCTAAACATGATTTATACCTCATTAGATATTGAAAGAAGGGAAGACAGAGAGGTGATTAATTAAGTAGAGAAGGGCTTACCCGCCACAATGAGAGTTGCGCTTTCCCCGCCTAGCTCTCTCATTTTCAAAGGTTCACCAGTCTCAGGATCCTTTGACCTGGACAAAATTGCAAAAACACCGCATCCAGTTTTAGAGGCGTGTTTAATTCCCTGACTGAGCATCTCGTCTACAAATCGAACAAATTTATCCCTAGCACGGATAGCTTCGGGGAAAGCAATTTTATCAAACCTCAAGAAACTTATTTCAGGAGCTTGTGTCAGAGTCCCAACACGGACATTTGACTTCTCAATGACTTCTGGAATGAAACGATATGTCGGGCTTCGCAGGGTCGACCAAGGGACTCCAAAAATAATATTGCTCATCACATCGAAAGCAAAGTAGTCGTCTAATTGATTAGCTATTGACTCTTTGTGCCTGTATCATTGACGCCAAACTTACTGAGCCGTGCCATATCCTTTGGGGGGGACCAGGAACCGATGGGTATTTGTTCTCCGTTCGATCCCATCCTCAACTGCGTACACAAATGCTGTACTTGTTCAAGTATCACAATCTCATGCTTCTTAAGTGCAAAATCAGAAAATCCCTGACTTATAATGCGTCTCTTCTTTCCATGCTTCTTCTTGTCGATTACTGTCAAGGTATTGGGGGCGCGGTGCACCATAGCTCCATATCTCTGGGCCTTTTTGAATCGTTTTCCGTGACCGTATATATCTAAACAAGTATATCTTAGAAAATAAAAGCCCGCATAAACTTGATAGGGATATACTTGCCATGAAGCCCATCCACTGTGTTTACAAGGAGACTGTTTGGGCCATATCGGACAAATTTCCCTGGGGAAGAATAATTAGTCAAGAGAGAGAGAGAGATGAAGCCTTTCAAACACCAAGTGTGGGCCACCAACCGTACTTGACGTGAGAATTAAGCATATCTATATGAAGGTCCCCTTTCCAAGAATGATATCCAGCATATAAATTTGTGATTTTGGCAAGCCATGGGCCAGGATACTTCGCCAGAGGGTGGAAAAGTACTAGGTAAACCAATCTTCCAACTAGCTACAGTTAAATATCAGCCGTGTTTTCGGGTTAGGTGACTTATTTGGACATACACAGAGAAGTAGGGCAGCTGCACCCAAGATAACAGTGAACCACAACGTGGTATATGAAGGGAAGTGGAACTTGAGCATCTTTTGCCCTCAAATAATGCGTGTACTAGGTAATGCGATGATGGAATAGAAGATTATTGACCGTAGAGGCTGGCTTCGACCCACGTTGGGATATTAATATCGTTCGTCCTAACTACAGACTTCCCTATCCACATATCTACATCAGCCTAGAGTGCAAGGAACTAAGTACCTAGCCATCCTGTTGCCAGAGTAATAGGCAGGGTTTCCGAACTTAAAGGAATATAACCCATGGATGTTAATCTTGCCGGAGGTCGATATGTAAATGCAGCTGAGAAACAGCTCGCTTGAGCCTGCTCCGTCGATATACATAGCGTAACAATGGTTTAAGTGATACAATATACGTACGATACGAAACGCCAAGTAATCCTTGATTTTTGCTAAAAAAAATTACGTTTGTTAGTCAAACTTTCCCAAGCCCCTGGGCCGCCAAGCCTGGAAACTTTAAAATAAAGTTACTCTGGACTTGGTACACACTACCTGTTCCCACGATAGTTGATATCCCGAGCAACCCTTGTGATCGATGCCATTCATTTTTACGGAACGGCGTACAGCACCGTGAGCTTCGTCTTAAATTATTCATTAAAAGTGGATACCTTTGTTCCGTGCTCCCCCGTTATCTACTGGCAATTGCTTCAAGCAAAATATGTGGCCTAGCAATACTAGGCCGGCAGCTTTAGTCACTGCCGTGGTGGGCCATATCATTTGCTTGTAAGTCAGTTATCTAATCTAGCCAATCAATTTCTCACTCTACACCCGCAGGCTGAGAGAGATACCCCAAGATCGCTCCCCTCTCCCTTCGCTATTAAATATATTAAGAGAGGCACGGTTGATTATTGGTGTAACCGCATCTTACTTTTAGCACAAACAACCAGTTGTTATTTGTAGCGCAGAGAACATGATTACTAGATACGGTGAAGGACCGCGATTCTGTAGTCTAAAACATAGTGGATTTATGAGTATTGCTATGTCGTGGATTATTAATCTTGTTGAAGATCTATCATATAAAATACCTCCTACACAAATAAATTAACCAAATGATCTATATGTCACTACACAAAAGCGTCATCAGGGAAATTGAGACACAAACAGAAGGCTGGTGGCCAGATTGGAAAATAAATAGCTTGATTAAAGCCTGTGGGATAACAGCCCTATGTCTCGCCCTTCATAGAATTACCGTAAGGGGTTTCAGATGGTTGGTATTTCTTATCATTCGGCTTGATTTAACTACAGGTAGTTGTCAGCAACCTTTTTCTTTCTTTATGGAAAGGTAGGGTCATGCCATACTTACACCAAGCATGACCTTTTCAAGTACTGGACTCTTTGTAATTTCGAAAGCATCTCTGATGTAATCCAGTGAAAGTTCGAAAAGCCTCGCAGTGAGATTTGGGATGTATTTTCCAACCAAGAGTCCTGGATCAATCGTAGAATCATTGATATGCTTTTGTAAGAAATGTCGAAAGGAGTCCACTCCAGGTTGCAACAGACTGCTATGAAACGGCACATTTACTGCCAGTGGGATAGTTGCTAGACCCCGTTGGAGAGCAATCGGCCTTTGTGTCTGCTCTAAAATACTAAGATGTTTCCGTATAAAGGCGTGCACATCCTGCAACTCAGACATATTTAGGCTTCCAGACGCTAGAGCATCCATTACCGCTGTAAGAGTTGCAAGCCCTTGCAGCTATAAGTACAGTTTGTTAACCTGAGAAAACTGGAAAGTCATCTTTTGGAGAGAGCACTTACATCACCAGCACAAACGTACTGCATATTTATGACATTGTAATTAACAATCTCTAGTAACCCTTGCGTATGTCGAGAAATCTCTTGCACACACCAGTTCAGATCAACCTCAGAAAATGTCTTCGAGACTCGGGTTGGATTAACTGCACACATGGAGTAATTTGTTGCACCGTTGGAGTCACGCTTAACGGCGTTGCACATCGTTAATCCGCGGTAGAACACGAGTGCAACCATCTGCTC